TCTATAAGTATGTAAGAGGGGAGGCCAATAGAAAGGCTATTGTAAAAGGAGAGAGCTCAAGCATCTATCATTAATGATCAGCCTTTGCAACAAGTTTCAAGCAAGGAAAAGTGGGTACGAAAGGACCAATTCGTGCCCCACTTTCTCCTGCTGAAAAGGAGAAACTCAAATGCTCTCGTTGTAGGAAGAGGAGGATCACCCGAGAGAACTATTGGGACTTGCATCCTCACTTGAGACAGAAACCAAGGAATGCAAGTGCTAGTATTGTACCAAGTTAAGGGGGAGGAAACCTCAGCCGCAAAAATCAATGTATCCAATCTAAGAGATTAGGCCATCACAGATTTACAGCAATAGTTGACCGCACTCAAGGCTTCAATCAGCTCGAAGACACCGAAAGAACAGCCAGGTACATATGCAACTGCAAACCATTCCTCCAACTCCACCTCTTCTGCATTATGGATCATTGATTCAAGGGCTACTGATCATATGACCTGCAAGAAAGTTGGGTTCTTTTCCTTTTCTCCTGCTCCCAGTGAAATTAAACTTGTTGATAGGTTCATGACCAGTGCCTCTGGGAGTTGAACATATAAACATTCATCATCCTTGTCCTTGACCTCTGTAATACATCTGCCTTATTTCCTTCCAAATCTTATCTCTGTTAACAGCCTAACAAAACAACTAAACAACGATGTCACATTTTATCCCTCAGATTGTGTTTTTCAAGACCTGAAAACAAGGATGATGACTGGTGGTGGTCTTGAAGATAATGGGTTGTGCATGGATGCACACTGCTCTAATACCATGTTAACATTCAGAGAGAAAGTAATGTTCAAGCACAAGATAAAGTAAATATAAATTTCTTTGCACTCTATGCAAATCGTGGGGAAACATACCCTAGATATACACAAATCCCTAAATGACTAACAATATTGGTAGGTCAACATGTATAGTTGTTACAATAGGAAAATCTCCCAAATATAGTATCTATTACAGCAAAAAAATCACCCAAATATAATAACTGTTACAACAGGAGATTCACCCAAATATGGTAGAATATTATACACATTATAACCAAGTTTCCAAAATCGGCATGATACTCATGATGGTTGTTGCAGGTTTCTTTAATAAGTGTGGGGCACATAATAGTTTCTACCAATGTTCAAAAAGGCATATGCGGTTTGGGCTCTAAGCTGCCTAGGCGCTAAGGCGTGCGCCTAGACCCAAAGGCGGCATGTGCTGTCTTTTTTTTAAAAGTTGGATCCCCTACACCTCCCCCCATTTTATTGTATATACTATATAATAATAATTACGAATTAATACTATTTTTTTTTTGTTTACCAATAAGTTAAAAATTACTATCGAATGAAAAATGTATTTTAGATAAATTAATAATTACGAATTAATACTATTTTTTGGTTTACCAATAAATTAATAATTATAGTTACATGCAAAAAGTACTTTCAGTAAATTAATAGTTATGAATTAATACTATTTTTTGGTTTACCAATAAATTAATAATTATTGTCACATGCAAAAAGTATTTCCGATAAATTAATAATTACGAATTAATATTATTTTTTGGTTTATCAATAAATTAATAATTATTGTTACATGCAAAACGAAAAGAGGCACAAAAAGTCTAATTCTTCCATATATTAATTAAAAAAGAATTAATACTATTTTTTGGCTTACCAATAAATTAATAATTACAAATTAATATTATTTTTGGTGCAGGTCAAGGCAGCGCCTAGGTGCCCAGCTTTTACACTGCCTAGGCGGGTGCCTAGCAAAAGCCGCCTAGGATAGGCCGCCTGGTCCATGACTAGGCGTTTTTCAAAAAATGCCGCCTAGGCAGCTAGGCAGCCAAGTTTTCGTTCATTGGTTATTACAAAGTTAAGGAAAGTTAAATATGGAATGAAACCGTCACCTGGGGCTTGGATCAAAATACTTAGTATAGCAATATATCAATTCGGATTTCAGAGAAGTGGTTCTAATCATTTATATTTATCAAAAGTGATTCTTGTTCTACCGCAATACCGATAGTGCATGTGGATGAGATAGTGCTCATAGGAAATAATGATTACGAGATTCAAAAAGTGAAAGATTTCTTCCGCCAGTGTTTTTGATATCAAGGATGTTGGATTGGTCCATTGAATACTTCCTTCGAATAGAGGTAGCTGAGTCTAAACAAGGGCCTTTTTTGTCTCAAAGGAAGTATAATGTTGATCTCCTCAATGACACAGGAACGCTTGGGGCTAAACCAACAGAATCCCCCATAGAGGTTAATCACAAATTGTATGATCAACAGTCAGAGCCTCTGAGTATCCGTGGTGTATATCAGAGACAAGTGGGCAGACTTATTTTTCAAAAACAATATGTACTCTATTTATTCACTCCGAGAATAATTCGCTACTTACCATGGCCTCCAATAAAGTTTGACTAAAGGATACTTTGGGCAAGCTGGGCATCCATGATGTATATGCTCCAGCTTGAGGCGGAGTATAGCGATTATTATAGGCCCTATGCCCATTAAAAAAACCTGCAATAACCGTCATGAGTATCATGCTCATTTTGGAAACTTGCATAAGGTGATAAAGTGTATATTATTCTACCACATTTTGGTGATTTTCCTATAGCAACAGATATCACATTTCGATGATTTTTCTGCTGAGACAATTAGCATATTTAGGTGATTTTCCTACTGTAACAACTATACATGTTGACCTACCAATATTGTAACACCCAAAGGACATGTGTATATATAAGTCATATTGCCCCACGATTTGTATAAAGCACATCTATGTTTATTTCATTTTGTGCTTGAACATTACTCTCTCTCTTCTCTCTCAATCTTATAAAAAATAAAATAATATTTTTTTTTGTTTACATTCTACTAGCATAACTGGAACAAGTGTTAAAAGTCTAAACATCACAAGCGCACTCATGGTCAGAAGGTGATAGAGATTTTGACATTAGAAGATTACAAAAATGTAATTATGTACAATAAAAAACTACAATATGATGGAATCTGGATTCCGTATAAATCAAATCAAGATTTAAAAAATGTGGAATCAAGATTTAATAAATATTGGAATCAAAATTCGAAAAAGTGGAATCCATATTACTAATATGTGGAATAACTATTGGAATCAAGAATCAAAAAAGTGGAATCCATGTTACTAATATGTGGAATCGAGATTCCTGAATCTAAGGAAACAGATTCCATGAAGATTTTGATGGAATGGCATAATGAAAATAATGCAGCAGAATCTCCACAAGGGTGAGATTCCGATAACTATGATCTCTCTCCCTTTCCATTTCAAGAGTCCATGATAACCCAGGAAGTTACTTTCATTACCTAGACTAACACCACGCCATCGTGGTTTTTGAGGAATTTCAGTACTTCAGCAAGAACGATCTTTACAACTCTTAATGGCTCATCTAAGGTTGCTTTTGGATAGTTCACTTTACTTCTTTTTTTTGCTCATGGCAGAAATTTTTAGGGCTCATGTATCTCACATTGGCTTCTTCTTAGGCTGACAAATCAATTCAAAGGGTAAGCTTTGCCTTGATTCAAAAAAAAAAGAGAATCTACCTAACTAAATATTTTCATATAACCTAACCATGTAAAACATTATAAAAATGACCAAATATCCTTATCTTACTCAGAATGATTTAAAAGACTGGTTTGCACATATGATAAGACCACAGAGATAAATTAGAAAAATCATCAAAGAAGACCCCAAAACTTGCACTCTTAAATCTCACAAATTAGTCTAGCCTGTTCTTGTTGTATCATTTTAATATTTTATCATAATTGCTTCACAGTTTCTTAGGAAAATTTGCCATTTAAATTTTCGCATTTGGAATTTACCGCACAAAGTTTTGTTATCTTTCTTGAGATGTAAAAGGAGAAAAGGTAGAGGGATACTTTGCCACCTATTTACCCATGAGAAAAAAAAAAAAACTAAACAGGTAACATATTTTTAAGTGTGAGCTTATTTACCAAGCAAGCATCCACCAACTCCGTAGTAGTATTAGAAACCACCTTTCCCACATAAACAAAAATCTCCTCCCCCCCATTGAATCAAAAAGAATTTCCAGTCAAGAAAGGAGGCAGCCTTTTTTAAGTTCTTGGTGCTCTAAATGTACCAAACAATTTAAGTCCTGGAATTTCTTAGGATCTCTAGCTATATTCAAGACTACTGCAATGTTTGAAAGAGTTACCACCTCGAAATTCTTGGGCCTCCTTCTGCATATTTGGCAATAGTTGTCATACTGTTGAAATCACTTAAATTTTAAAATCATTGGATCCTTTTCAAGAACCTCTTTGGCCTTTCTGTTGTTCAAATTCTCTCTAAAAATGATTTAGACACCCTCTTGTCCTTGTTTCCAAAAAGCAAACCACCACAATCATGCCTTACGACATAATCATGGCTTTTGAGAGTCTTTGCCAACATTCTTTTCACCATATTTGTCCCCATCTTCCCAAGTAACAACACAAAAGCCATCAACATCACTTTCAATTCAAAATTTTTAATATGGCAGCATAATTTATTGCTTAGTGCAAAAAAAAAAGGATAAGCATTATTCCTTTAATACAGAATGTTGATACTTTTGATTTCTCTCTACCACCCCTTTTGTGCTCTTTCAAGATTAAGAAAATATGAAAATTTCCATTTCACGAAATATGTCTGCATATTAATATTCTGTTTAATAAGTCATGCATTTCAGATATTCTACCATGCCATTTGTAAAATGCTACTTTATTTGAACTGTCTTCATGGAATTTAATGTCACAACAAATATGACAGAATTGGACAATCACAGTAACTACTTGAGCAGAATACCTATATGTAGCCACATTCAGAAAGATCAAAAATAAATAAATAAATAAAGTTAACTTTTCAGTATCATCAAGTAAATCAAGATTCATACATTGAAAGCAACACATATGGATCAGTTGGTCATGTAGCAAATAAATGAAAGGCAATACGTACCTGATCTGCATCTAGACTGTCTGACGAATCAATCGGACTAGGGTTTCTATATTTGTCATTTTTCTGATCTTTTTCAGTGACTAAACCTGAATCAGGGGATGTAGGTGACAAGCTGTCCTCGATCCTAAGAGCGGATGTTGGAAAATCTAACGATGATTTCATGGAACAATTCTTCATGGAAGTTGCAGAAAGGGGACTCTCAACTGCCCTGATAGGGAATGGTGTCTGTACAAGACCAAAAAACGTTCAGTTAAGTATAATCACAGAAATCAAAAAAGAAAATTCACGGAATCACAATAATATACATCAACTTCAATAGAAATCAACAATCTGAAAAGAAAAAGGAAAAAACAAAAGTTAGTTGTTCAACGGTTCACTAAGCATTGAGTTACATGTCATTTCAACATGCAGAAAAATCAAAGAAGTCTATCATGTTCCACTTACCATTTTACAATCGTTAAGTAGAATCATGAAGTGTCTGGTGGCAACATTGAACAGAAAGCCTCTTACTCCTAATACACAACTTGTCTCTTTGGGTAGATAGCACCAAAAATCAAAAAAGATTCCAGCCCAAGTATAGATAATGCTTAAAGCCATGGGTAAGAGGATATATATGCTAACATTTTTCTGTTGCTTGCTGGCAATGATTTAACACAGTCACAAGTCTCATAATCAGTGGCTTGGTGGACCAACTAGAAGCATTGGTTAAGAGAGGATATTGATCACGAGCAACTTAGAGCATCGCGTGGATTGAAGCATAATCAAATCCTACAAAGGTCAATGAGCTCCACCATTATGAGCTCATTATCAAAAAAAAGGTGTTAATAAAAAGGTCAATGAGCTCCACCATTATGTCTGCGGTCATCATGGGACTGTCAATCATAGTGCCTCCACTTAATAACATTAAATGAACCACTACCACAATCAAAGCATTTAGAACTGAGGCTAGTTAGGAGAGCCATGATTTCCAAACAGTCTTAACTTCCCTAAGGTTGTTGTTCCATGAATATATCTGGCACATCTGAGGCTCCTGGATTCCTAATCAAAATACCACTCAAATTCATTTCAAAGCCAGCCTTTAGAGGGGCGTTCCAGAATGCATCACTTAGAGGGGTTCCATAGAGCAAATCACACTTAGTATGCATCTTATCTAACAAGTTGCCTCTCGCGTGGAGGGAGAGATGTCAAGCCCTTTCATAATCAGAGGTTAGGTTCTTTAGAACATTGTCTCTATATTGCTATGTAACAATTTAGACATTCAGACCCACATGTTAGTGCTCAGAGTAAAATTAGGTGATCAATCATTTCATGAGTACTTCTCAAAAATGACAGTTGAGGTGTCATTATAGTCGGTCCAGTTACTAAATGGGGGGCAATTAAAAACAACAACATTGATCCAAACAATCTTTCCTATTAATCACATACAAGATAATCCACGATTCTTTGTGTTGGGAGCCAAAATCTCCAACATCTACTTAAGTTAGTTTGAAACACCAATAATCCAATTTTAAATTTATTGAAAACTGAAAAAAAATCACTTGGTTTATCAATTTAGATAACTCTTCCTGAACTTGAGAAGTCTCAAGTTCGTGATTCTTTTGAGTCTCTTGCCAGTTTTTGGAAGGCTCTTGAGAGGTTATGGAGAGAATCCATTCCATTTCTAGTTACAATCATAGTAAATTACAATCAAAGGATTATTTATCAGATATTGTAATCCAAGAACAAACCTTAGGATATGAGCATTCTCTAATCTAAAAGCAAATTCTAGACCACATTGAGAAATATATCAACCCAAAACTCAAATCGCTCATAAGGAAAGAACACTCATACTGAAAATGAAGCAGGTCTAATTCCATTATGTAACAAGAGATCAGGCTCAAAAATTCGAAAATGGGTTCTCAGTGATTCGACTTCTCACTACCAAAATTCCCCTTATTGCTACTTATACAAATCTATATATTATCAGATGCTTGTTTGGTGAACAGGAAAAATATTGGTGCTCCTAAAGTAAATTTCTTATAGGCATCTCATTTAAAAGCGATTTAGGGACCTAAATCATGTTAAATGCATTAAGAGTGAGGCTCAAAGGGTGTAGGTGAGGGATGACGCGGTCAATGAAAGGTAGAGAATCTATTTTCAGAAATTTTAAAATATGACCACCATGGGAACTCAGCATTAAAAGGAACCATTGACATAAATGAGATTGGAGGTTATAAATACTTTCATAAAACTAGGATATCTAAAGTGAAAGAAGCTTTGAGAAATATGAAGATAGGAAAGGCTTTAGGACCAGATAGTATACCAATAGAGGTTTGAAAGGGCATGGGAGATATTGACATATTTTGGTTGACCAAGTTGTTCAACAAGATTTTGAGAAAAAAGAAAATGTTTAATTTTTTATTTTTATATAACGTTCCCTTTAGTTTGTATTTAAAAAGAAGATGTCCCTTCTTTGTAGAGACTAATTAGAGAATAAAGAAAAGAGTTTGATTTTTTGAATAGATCTTGGTGTGGACTCCCTTGCAGACTCAAAGAAAGTATAATCTCTCAACCTTTAATAAAAATAAAAAAAAAAAAAAAAAAATTACCTGCATAAGACTAGTCATGCTATATGGATGAAATGTTGGGCAGTCATGAAACAACATATCCATAGAATGAGTATTCCTGAGATGAGGATGTTAGGGTGGATGAACATCCTGCTGCTCATGGTGTTTCACAATCAATAATGGAAATGAACAAAGAAGTGGTGGACCATGCGGAACAGCATATTGGATCACTCCATGTGGCACGAAGCCACTAAATCAAATGTTTTGGAAACTCCTCGTTGGGAGATGAATCCACATGATTTTGCATTAGAGCTCTAGATCTTTCTTTCTCCCTTGTAATAACAATATCTCTAGGTTTGCAGCAATAGCTTGTTATATCTACTAGATTACCATTAACTACAATATGTTTATGGTTAACTAATTGTCTACCGGTTCCCTTGAGTTCTTCATCACGGGCCCCCCGAAAGGTTTGCTTCTTACTCTATCTTGGACGATCACGGAAATAGCGAGAGGTTGCAACCCCCCTTCCCCCCCCCCCCCCCTCCCAATACCATAAATAAGTCGATCAGTCGATCAATCCATCAATCAATCTCTTCAGGATGAGACATGACTCAAGCGAGGTGTTCAATTGAACGTGATAGAAGAATGTGGGGATCGCTCCATCCCTAGGCCAATAATTCCACTTCTACGTCAGTCCGAGTCTCATATAAAATCATTCAATCAGTAGAGAGTATATTTATAGGACAAGCGAGTTGGCTTCCTTCTTTCCTTTGCCAAGCATGTAAGCAAGTGTAGCTCCATTAGCAAACAGTGGCAAGACAAGGAAAGATAGAATTCAGATGCATACAGTCAACGGAACTTATAGGTAGCTCCAAAAGGTGATAAAATGAGAGAAAGTAGACTTAGGACGTCTGGTCATGTGCAACATCAACCTAGAACAGTGTCGGTTAGGAGCAGTGTTTTGGTTCAAGTGGAAGACTCTAAAAGGGAAAAGGGAAGATCCCAATGGACATGGATGAAACTAGTGAAAAAGATATGTGAATTGTGGTATGACTAAGGGTATGCTCTTGATAAAGCGGAATGGTGAAACAAGATTCGTATAGCGAACCCCAAATAGTTGGGATAAGGCTTGGATGATGATAATGATATTGATGATTTCTAAGCAATTTCAAGTCATCACATTTAAAGTAGAGACAAAAAAGCATTTATCACAGTCCAACCCAATACTCTCCTCACAAGCCTAAGTTCGTTCAGCACTTTCTAGACACTTTCTATTGTAAGGTGATTAGCTCAAAATGGTTGGGCATGTGCAACTGAGGGTCACTCTTTTCATGGAGTTGTGAATATTTCTAGGAAAGCCTTTGGGTTATGATGTTGTTATCAAGACCTTTGGCTAGTTGCAGCTCCAAGAAGGAGGAAGAGAGAGCCTAGCTTATTGGTTTGTGGTGTTTCTTTTCAGGATGGAAAGATTTACTCGTTGAAGGGGATTCCACAAACATCATTACATTGGGTTCTCTGCTAAAGGATAACCCATCGAGGTTACACAATGTGTTTGAGGAAATTTTTGTCCTAGAGTTCAAAGGTCACTTTCTCTCAATCGAGAAGGGATACAAAAGAGAACAAGGACTCCTTGGAGCAAGAAGGGGTCCACAAAACATCTTTAGAAGTTACTTTTCTTTCAATTCTTTAAGTGAAATTGTAGTAACTCCATTTTTTACAAGACCTATATACTAGTAGATCCAATATTTGAAGCAATGAAGTTACGTTAAAAATAAAATTAAAAAAAATTATTGTTCAAAAGATTGGACGAGGGATCAAAAATTAGCAACATATTGATAATTAAATTCCTTCATGTTAGTGAAGTCGCATTCCTAGAGCCACCCAAGGCATAGGTGCACCGCTTGTCCCCTGAAATATCTTATCCACTCTCTCTCTCTCT